CTATAATGTAAAAATTATCCAAAAGGAATCTTGCCGTTTCAACATTGTAAGATAAATATACAACCTCATATACATTATGATTGAAATGAGGCAAAGTTTTGTTGAATATTTTAAATACTTATCAACAGAAAATTCTTTTTTTCTTTTGAGGAAGATTGGCCCTGAGTGAAAATTTGTTGCCAATCTTTCCCTATTTTTTTTTCTTCCCAAAGCCCCAGTACATAGTTGTACACCCTAGTTGTAGGTCATTCTAGTTCCTCTCTGTAGAATGTTGCCACAGCTTGACTTAATGAGAGATGCATAGGTCTGCACCCAGGATGCGAACTGCTAAACCCCGGGCTATCAAAGTGGAGTGTGCAAACTTAACCACTTGGCCATGGGCCAGCCCCCTCAACAGTAAATTCTTAATGTCATTTTTCTTATGATAGTGAATGAATTTTACTGAGAATGCTTTAACATCTGGTGTTTATTTCATCCCTTAGACATCCTTATCAGAAACTGTACGGCAGCTATGGGCATACTGTGTCACTGAATATTGCTATGAACTTTATTCAATTCATAAATTTGTGTGTTTGATACAAATGGGGCCTTGGTTTAATCTTCTCTCTCAGTTTCACCTTTTGCCTTCAATGTTGAGCATGAAGTTTATATCTAATATTTTCTTATCTCTCCTTACTTATTCATAAATCCTTCAAGGGTCAACAGTCACATCAGTTCTATTATTAAGATTTCATTCCACGGGAGGGAATGGTTGGTCTTGATAACACAGCCATAATATTTTGAGGAAATAATATGTAAAGAAGCCTATCTTAAAAGTCAGATTTTTGAGAGAATCTTTTTTGTTTTCTTTAATCAAGGTAGGAACACGAAGAAGAAAGATAAACCATTAGATATTAGGAGATATTGGAGGGACATGAAGACCGGTTACAATGCTAAGTCACTGGGTGAAATTCAACGAGAGTTTTAAACATTCTAATGTATTAAGTGAACAAATATGAACTAGACAGTTAAGTGTTCTTATTTTTAATAAATATTTTTAATGCACTGCCTTTATCTGACAGAAGAATTTTAGATAATTGACTGAAAGATATATAGAAAAGACAATTTTTAACTGTAATCTTAGAAATGCCATTCTTTAGATAAGTACAGTGCAAGAGCAAAACATAAATATACGAAAATTTTAAGAAATAAAAGACAGTTTATAGGTAATATTGTGCTTGCCCATCACAGACTCACTCATATCCTTCTCACTGACTCATACCATATTGGTTTATGCCTAGTATGAGCCTGAACATATAGCCGTCAAAAAAAGAAAAATGGGAACTACATTTAATCAACATTTACTTTCTACTAGGCACTAGTTCTAATTATTGTGTTTCACTTAACTTGTATGATAAGGATTAAATATATTGATATGTAAACTGTAGTGAAAATTCCAAGGCTAGGAAAAGGCAGTCTGCTTTTAACTGAGCTGACAGAACTACATTTCAGACCACATTGTTCTGGCTCCAAAATATCTCCTAAACCAGTTTTTCTCAAGCCATCTACGATAAAAGGCCATATTTTTGTTATTCTAATAGCTCACAAACTAAAGCTTTGTAAAACACAACAAAAAGAATAATTAAATTTTTAAAAGATAAAAAATACAAACCCAAATTTTATTATTAGATTCAACAGACATAAAATCACTCTATAAAATTGCCATAAAATTTCCAAAATACTCACTCTCAATTTTGGTGCTTATTGCAGACCAACAACTAACAATTCATGGTTCAGCCTTAGCCCACACACCACAATCTGAGTGGCCAACATACTCCCAAATCTAAGAGCCTACCAGTATTAGGTGTTTCTCAAAGAAATTTTTATAGAGCTTACAAGAATCATGGCCATATGGAAAATGTGCATAAATCTAATGAAATGTTTCAACCACAAAGATCTCTACTTTCTGATCCCTAGAACTGTGAATGTGTTACCTTAAATAGCAAAAGGCACTTTGCAGCTGTGATTAGGTTAAAGATCTCAAGATGGAGAGATTATCTTGGAATATGTGGGTGGTCCCAATGTAATCACTAGGCTCCTCATAAGAGAGAGGCAGGAGGGTTAGAGTCAGAGGAGGAGATGTGATGGTAGAAGCTGATGTCCCAAGAGAAAGATTTGAAGGTGCTATGCTGCTGGCTTTAAAGGCGGAGGAAAGTACCACAAGCAAGAAATGCAGGTGCATTGCAGATGCTAAAAAATGCAAGTCCTTAAGTACCACAGCCCTATTAACAACTTGATTTTAGGACTTATGATCCCCAGAACTGTATGATAATCAACTTGTGCTGCTTTAAGCTACTAAGATTGTGGTAATTTGTTATAGTAGTAATTGGAAACATACAGAGTTAAGTTCTGGGAAGCAAGGTGCTATTATGAAAAACAGCTAAAAGTATGGAAGTGGCTTTGGAATTGATAATGGGCAGAGGCTGGAAAAATTTTGAGAAGTATGGTAGAAAAGTCCCAGATTGCCTTGAATAGACCGTTAGCAAAAATATGGATGTTAAAGGCCCTGCTAATGAGGACTCCTAAGTGAGGAGTATGGTAGAGAAAGCCTATATCATCTTAGAGAATATGTAAATCATTATCAACGGACTGTTAGCAGAAATATGGATATTAAAGGAGATGTTTTTGAGGGTGCAGAAGGAAATGAGGAACATGTTATCGAAAATTGGAAGAAAGGGAATCTTTGTAATAAAGCGGCAGAAAGCTTAGCTGAATTGTTTCCCACAATTAGGTAGAAATCAGAATTTTAAGTGACAAACTCAAATATTTAGCTGAGGAGATTTCCATACAAAATGTTGAAGGAGTAGCCTAATTTCTTCTTCCTGCTTATAGTAAAATGTGAGAGGAAAGAAATAAGTTGAGGGAAGAACTGTTAAGGTAAAAGGACCCAGGACTTGATGATTTGAAAAATTCTCAGCCAATTCAGACTGCAAAAGGCATTAAAATGAAAAGACTCACTTTCAGGAAAGCACCTCTGGAGAGAAAGCCAATTGTGTGCCTGGATCACTTTTGGCTTGTGTCTTGGAAGGATTAAAAACTCAGAATATTCAGTTATACAGAGAGCTCTTGAAGAAATTAGGCATGTGTCTCATGGATCCCTCAGCCATTTGAGCAGAGGCCAAAAATGGAAAAGGAATTGTCCAGGAAAGATCTATGAAGCAGGCAGTTTTCTAATAAAGAGACTCCCAGAGACATAAAGGAGAACCACAAGTTTCTTTAGAACATTGTATCAGTAGAAACACTATCAGTTTGGACTGAAAGGATGAAATTCAAAAAGGCTGTTGGACTTTCAAAATTCTATAGTTAGGAAATGGGATGATAAAAATACTTAGCTGAAAATATACGCTACCTTTCATGAAAAAGGAATAACGATTCTTAGGGTGGAGAACCAGCCACAGAGGGCAGAGCCTCGCGCCACAAAGGATTATGCCCAGGCTTTGAAATCTAACAGAGCTTGGCTAGTCAGATTTCTAAATTGCTTGAGACTGGAATCCCTTTTTTCTTCCATTTTCTCACTTTTTAAATAGAAATGTCTATAACTGTTATCTTATGCCTGTCCCACCGATGCATTCTGGGAGCATATAATTTGTTTTCTAGTTTCACAGGTACACTGATGGAGAGGAATTTTGCTCAAGGGTGGGTTATAACCAGAATCTTACCCATACCTAATTTAGATGATAAGATCTGGAATTTTTAAGCTGATGAATTTTAGATGAGGTTTCGGACTTGAGATGATACTATAAGGGGTTGAGACTTTTGGAGATCTGGGAATGTGGTGAATGTATTTTGCATGTGGGAAGGATGTGAATTTGGGGGGAAGCATGGTGAGAGAGCAGACTACAGTGATCTAAATAATGACTTCCAAAGATGTCCATATCCTAAGCCCTGGAAACTCTGAATATATTACCTTAAACGGCAAAAGAGATTTTTCAGATGTGACTTAGTTAAAGATCTCGAGATGAGTCAACTATTCTGGAGTTATCTGAGTGGGCCCAATGTAATCCTAAGAGTACTTATAAGAGGGAGGCAGGAAGAGATATGAGGATAGGAGCAGAAGTCAGAGTCAGACAGAGATTTGAAGATGCTACATTGCTGGCTTTGAATATGGAGGAAGAAGCCAAAGAAGGGAAGTGGCCTCCAGAAGATGGAAAAGGCAAGAACATAGATTTTCTGCTAGAGCCTCCAGAAGGAATGCAGCTCTGCCAAAAGGTTGACTTCAGGACTTCTATCTCCAGAACCATAAGATAATAAATTTGTGATGCTATAAGCCACTAAATTTATGGTAATTTGCTACTGCATCTATAGGAAACCAATATGAAAGGCCTCTATTATGGTATAATATTTCTCTACAAATATACCAAAAAAATCTTGAATTTTCAGATTCCATGAAATTCTTAGTCAATACATCAAAGAATATGCTTCACAAGACACTAAAAATTAACTTTAAAACTTAAAAATTCTGAGGATATGTTTTTCTGTTGACAGTCATCTTGCAGAAATGTGACAAGTGTGACAACACAAAAATGGAACATTTCATCATTCCAACATGATGAATTCTCCCTTGTAAGCTGAAGAAAAAAAAATGGTTCAATAAATCTACTTTGCTCTTAAATAGTCAATATAGTTCTTCCTAACTGTGCACTAGCATCTAAAAGTAAGCTAAGAATGGTTTATTTAGATTTTGAATCCATTACTGCAAATGAGTGCCCCCTTCACCAAGGCTCCCTCTTTAATTATCTCATCAACTTAATTTCAAAAATCATATGAAGAGTTCTTGAAAAGGCACTTCAAATCTTATTGGGCAACAAAATTGTCCATAGTTCAGGCAGTAATATATATTCAGTAATCAGCATTATGGCACGATTCCTTCACTCTTCAGGATTTCTATGTTCTCTGGAGAGTCATGACATATCACAATAGGAATATACACATATAACAAAGTGCTTCAAAGCATCCCTTACCTGTGTAACAAGTGGCTCCAAAAGTCTCTCCACTGTTAGTGTCCGGATTTCCAAACTTTTGGGGTCCCATTTTAAAATGATAGGTGAAGTTGCCGAAGTCATGCTCCCTACAGAAACACACATCATCAGTTAGAAATAACGATCGCTGAAATAATCCACTACCTTGGGGGTTGCAAATGAATAATTCACCAAAATTGTGAACATACTTGAAGATCATCTGTCTGGCTCAACCTCATCAAGTTAGGAACAGGGAAGTCAGAACCAGAACTGTGTGAATTGGTGATGTTGGAATCACATCACAAACTGAGGGCTCCTGAGGATAACTATATACATTTGACAAACTCTTGGGACCCAGCTGACATGAAAATATTTCACTCACTCAATATTGAGGGCACATATCCATCTGCTACATTCTGGGAAAGACTTGGACCTTGCCCTTGATTATGCTGATAGTTTCAAGGTAGAGAAAGCCAAGGTAGGCAATGACTACACCTCAGTGTGACTGGTGTTGTAATCAAGGAACACAGAAGGGGCTATGAGAGAACTGAGGAAAGGACACCAAAGTCAGTCTGGGGAGATCAACAAAGACTTTCACGAAGTGCAGTAAATCCATCATGATCACCAGATGAGAAACTCCAAGTCATAACAAAAAGCTACTTTGTTTTCTTCACATCATAACTGACCACTGAGGATATTATACTCCCTGTGGCAGCTGAGTTTCACTCTCTTAAACAGGAAATATATCTTACAAAGTGAGGGCAATCGTTCTGAAAATTAGCTTGCTGCTATTTACATGTTCTCTGATTTCTCACTGCATTTACATTCTTGTCCCATAAAATCCGTGTCTGAAAAGGTTATTTATTTCATTCTAAAGCAATCCTCTCCTCCCTAAGAATCACTGATGTGCAGGTAGCAGCCTCCCACAGATCAAGCACACAATATGGTCCTGGCCTCAATAAAATAAATTATGCATTCTATCGGAGGTGTGTTTCTCACTAAGAAATTGACTGCTCTTTGCTGAATATATTTCGACAACAAACCACTGGACAAGCAACCTTAGATTGTACAAACTGAATCTGAATCATTTGCTTTAATAACACCATAAATCAAACTGTTCATAGCTCTTCTCTTCTTGTGAATCAATGTCCTCACTCGATTCCATCCTTATAAATCAATGTAGATGATTATTTCCATTAGAATTAACACCACAAAGAAGGCCTACACAATAGGCACATGCCTCTTTACTGCTTTCTTACAGCTAATCCTTTTGCAAAATAGACCCAACAAATTTGCTTCAGGAAAAAAAAAAAGAGGCAAAGACACAGTGTGCTGGTATTTTACCTCTCTCCAAATGCCATGTTTTAAATAAACTAAGCATGGCAATTGAACCATATAGACTGATTTAGATTTGGTTTCCTTCACAACAACAATAGTTGGCACTGATATGTTGTCTGTCCTCCAAAAATCTAAAAACACTTTACACATTTCCCAGTCACACTACCAACTGCCACAGAGCAGCTGAGACGCATGCAATTCTGCTGCTGGGCAGCACATCTTCTTGTGCTGTGGAAGGATGAAGATGCCAGATGCTTTCTACATACACAGCCGGATCTACCTAAGCGATCTTGGGCCAGCATTTATGACAGAGTTATTGTTAAGCTTCTGGAGAAGTTCCCTGAAAATCTTTTTCAAGCTCTGATGGAATAATAAGTGATGTAATAATGAGTCACAAGGAAGTCCTGTAGGGAAGCTGGATAACTAGTAGTGAAGTCATTTTAACACGATAATGAAAGGCACTGGGTGAGACCTGGGTGTGCAGAGAGTTGCCATTATTGGTCATGCTTGTGCATATAAGCTGGTGGACCAAGGAAGGTACAGAAAATCTTTTATGGATGTTCCAATGTATAACTATAAAGAAATGATACTCAAAAAATGCAGAGGTGAGAAACCAAACTGCTGGGGCAATCCCATCAGAGACACTAATTTAGCATGCATAAAGAAGAAGTGGGAGATGTCGAACAAAGATCTTAAGCCAACAGTGAGCCAAGAAGCAGAGTTAGACAGTCTCTAGTCCTGAAGGTCACAGAGGCCTTATAAATCTAAAAATGAAAGGACAAGAGTTACCAGGCACATCACTTAACTTAATTTATTCCTTTGGGAATCAATCTTTTCCACCACTTCTTGTGACACAGGTAAAATTTAATAGCAAAAGGCAAGGAAGGTTATATGTTATTAATTTGTTGAAGGGGAAAACCTAGTCACAGAAACTTTAAATGCCCTTTTCTCAGCCATGCAGCTTTTGACATGATTTGGATTAAAACTAGGAATTCTGTCTTTACCCCATTTATTTGGACAATTTGGTTTAATATCCAAATTAGCAAGAATCGAAGGTCACAGAGGGGGACTGCAAAATCTCTACCTCTAAACCCAGGATGTTGACCTCTATGATTCCCGTTGAATTGCCTCTGAGGAGCACCTTAGCTTCAAGTCTGCAGAGCATGAGGTAGAGGACGGTAAGAAGCTCCTTTGACTACAGTATTTGAGCTGGTGTAATCTTTATAATCTGTTGTTTCTGGAAGAAGTGTTTGTGTCCTCCTACTCTGGGCACACTTGATTGCTTTCTGCTGTATGTACTAGACCTTGTAGTAGAAAAATTTCTCCATCAAAACCCCCAGACAATTGAAATTGCATAAAAACAGAAAAAAATGATTCCACTCCAGGTTAATGACCATAACTATAGTCTTCCAGATTCACCTATTGATGATCTTCATCTTCAGTGCCAGTAAGGACAAATGACAGCAGAGAAGAGAAAAACAGTCAAACATCCTCTAGAGCAAAGAAATGGGGCAACTGTAGTCAGCAAGTAGGAATGACAGTTTTGTATGTGCCCCCCATGACAAGAAAACACAAGATGGTTGACTCTCAATCGAGACTGTCATCCTACTTATACTTTCAATATTTGTAAATTCTGAAGAAAGACAGAAAACACACAGGCTTTTAAGGTACATTGGATGATTATTCAGTAAATAGTCACTCCTTCCTCTGTCCCTCCCCTCCACGAGAAATTAATATTGGGCTTTGGCCAACGGAACATTAGGAAATATGATGTGAGCAGACCTTCGAAATGTGCTTGCTTGGTCTTGCTCTCTTGTGCTTCTACCCTCTGCCATGATAGTCACGTATAGCCCACTGGTTCAAAAAGGAAGAAAGACATATGGAGCAAACCTGAATCCAAGCTGAAGCTGGAGCCAAGCCCAGCTAAGCCAAGTCTCGTCATCCAACTCCCAATCAAATCACAGACAAAGGACCAAAAAATAACTGCTTGCTATTGTACGTCACTGAGAATTTGTCACTAAGTGTTTTTCAGCAATAACTAGCAGAATGGTGGCAAATAGACTTTAGTTTGAATTGCAGCCTTATAATGGATGAACTCTGGCATGTTGTCCAAATTACCTAGCCTTTCTGAGCCTCCGTTTCCTCATGAAAAAAATCAAGATAAGTATTTTACAGGGTTATTGTGAGGATTAAATAACTTAGTGGAAAGAAAACATTTCTAGAAATATTACTTATTATGGCTTCCAAAATTTAGGTATCTTTTTTTTTGAAATTCTTTACCTCTGGGGGGAATAAGAAAGCACCCATTAAAAAGAGAGATCCAGATTGACACTCCTCTGTGTGGAACAACCAAATTGACTCAAATGAGAAGAGAACAAATCAAATGTGTAGTCACATCAGCCTTTCAATTTTCTGAGGATGGAATGACACACTGACTCAAATCCACACTACACATCTGTACAATTAATGCACTCTGTTTTGCCAACAAAAGTGGCTCTATGTAAAACAAACACATTTTTTTTCAATGATTTAAATTCAAAGGAAAAAGACACTCATTTTCCTTGCTTTCCGTAGGGAGATAGAATATCGACTGGACACAGTGGAATAGTGAAAATCAAGAGTTGTACGCACTAAAAGGCAACAAGGTTGTCTTCTATACACTACAATTTCACAAGCCCAGGAACAAGCTCTTAACAATTTACTTAATCTCTGGGAAGACTTTCTTCTTGAAAAGTATCAAATTGCGTATCCATGAAAGGTGCTAACACAGACTACATGGTAACATTTTAGATAATTTCAGATTCTCCAAGGGGGTAAGGAAGAGGCGTGGGTCAGGATTCTAGTGGCGATTTGTCACTCACAATACAAAAAGCAAAACCTGACAAAAAGACAAGCCAGAGGGTCAAGTGCCTGATAAACAGAAAATCTCTCGAGGTTGGCTATCCCAAGCAATGCCTTCAAATGACAAATATGTTAATGCAGTGCATAATTCACTGCAGAAATTTCCCTTTCCAGACATCCCTGGAAAATTTATTTTGAGCTTTCTGAATTCTTACCAGTCCTCTGCTCTTTTGCAAAGTGATGGTCCAGGAAGCTTTCTAGTTGCCCAGGAGGCCACCCAAACCTCCCTCCCTCCACAGGGCTCTAGCTTCAGATTCCCTTCACAAATTTTTCTCTTCACCAATACTGAGCAGTTCTGGAAACAAACTCTGTGAGTCTTTATTAGATGACGGCTTGCTTTTGTTGACAAGCAAATTCAGAAATTAATGACTAACAGTAGATGTATTCACCTATCTCCACACATAAGATGTTGAGTCAGTTACTTAAGCTTCAGTTTCAGCATTTGTAAAAAAAAAAAAAAAGAGGATGGTAATACCTTATATAACATCGATTTATTCTAAAAATCAATGAAATAGGTGCATATCCAAAAAGTGATGGTTTTACTTCTTTGTAATGTTGTCTGCAGGATTATCAACTGAGCCAGTTCAAGAGATCCACTAGGGTAGGGGTGAATGGAGATCCTGTAAGGCAAGATGCTTGAAAACAAAGCTTTGCTGAGGGAGTGAGAAATGAAAAAGAGAGAGAATTTTCTAAATTTCTTCAGCATTTCCGAATCAAGCCTGGAAACACTGAATCATACTGTTTCTTCCAAGAATAATAATAATACTGGCTAAAGGCCTGGCGTTATTATTCTCTCCCATTTATAGACAGGGAGACTGAGGTATGAAACAGTTAAGAAAGCTGCCCAGGGTCACAAAATTTGTGCCTGAAC